TCCCACCCACCCTCCCTCCCGCCCACTCCCTACCCCCCCTCCACCACCTTATCCTAAGCCAAGTGAATGTGGAGACTGGTATTATTGTCCTGAATATGAAACATGTTGTTGTGAGTTGTATTTCTTTGGCATATGCTTCCGTCATCAGTGTTGTCCTTATGAGAATGGTGTTTGCTGTCATGGATCAGACTATTGCTGCCCATCTGAATTTCCCATTTGTGATGTTTATGAAGGCCTCTGTTTCAAGGTAATAGTACTTATCTGATGCTTTGTAACATCCAAACTATAATACGCAAATTTATTCCTTTTGTTGGAGTCATCAAAATCATTAGAAAGAAAATTCTAATAATTCCATTGGCTTATTCCACCTCTATCTTCTTATTTTTATTCTCCATCAAACTTTGGTAAAAGTTAGTCATCTCTTATACCCCAATATTGTGAAGCGACTTCATGCAAATCCTTATCAACATCTGTAGGGCTCGAATTTGCACCATTTAAGCAAGAGAGTAATAGTGGTACTTCGGAGTGAGAAAATATTTGGGAGGAATATGATCCTGGAATTAGGACCTGTTTTTCCCCTATTTGGGAAGCTAAGGCCTAAATACCTGGAAATTGTAAGTCCTACACATCATCTGTATCCCAAAATTTTGCTAGAGCATCTGCTATTCCCCTCTCTGCCTGTTTGTATCTGTTCATGACCAAAATCTCCTAAACGAGAGCCCTTCAATCTTCCAAAGGGAGCACTTACTAGAGAGAAAGCTACAATCCCAAGGGAGTTAAATGCCAGAGAACTTATAGGGTAGATCACTCTTGATATTTTGCTTGTATCAAAAAGCTGAGAGTTTAATCAAACACACAAGGTTAAGAATAAAATAAATTCTGTTGAATACCTTTATATTATTTTCTTTCATACTTCTTTTCCTTATTGCAGAGGTTTGATGATGTTGTGGGAGTTGCAGCAAAGAAGAGAAGAATGGCCCAATACAAGTTACCATGGAGTACAAGCAGTAAAGAAACAAAGGAGATGGGCCAAACTCTGAAATGGAAGAGGAAGCATGTTGCCCCAATGTTCTGAGTTAAATAATTGTTATCAGGACATTCGGAATCTTGAAGAATAAATGTAATTGTGGTTCTAACACCAAGAATTTTGATGAATAAAACTTCTTAGTGAAACCACAAGTACAACTCCTTAATGAATCTTGCTTGTGCAAACATATGAATTTCGTGAGATACAGAACTAGAAAGAGGTTATGTAGCCCGAAAATTCGACCTGCCACACGCATTATGCCAGCAGCTGCACTATACCTTCTGGTGAAGGTGGTTTTGGCTGTCTTCCAACCATTTTCGTTTTAATACTTGAAAGAAAATGGTGTCTGTGGTGGAAGATACAAAAATTTATAGAGGTGAATCGTAATTGTTTCTGGCTTCGGGCAGAGGAAACATCTGAGTGATTAGATTGCATGATGTATATACATATTATTTTCAGTATATTTGATGGCTAGCATGATCTTCAAATCCATCAACACTTGGCATGAGTTTAAGAAGAAGACTATGTCATTTGAGTTTTATATTGTGTACATTCTTGAAAATATTTGTGGAATAATAAACTTGCATGATGATTGCCTAACTCTGGAGTTCCTCCAAATTCAGATTGACTTGTTACTTAATTGATATGACATTATAATCATATGGGAAGGGGGAAAAAATTCTTTAACTACTACTGTTTCATACACATATCTCATAATATTTTTCACTAAAATAGTATATGCAGTTTCTTATGCTGTGACATACTCTGACAGTACAACTTTTTTCAATTTTTGGTGTGTCCAGTTTTATTTTAAAGGACTTATATCTTAGAAAATATGGCATCTCACGTAATTTGCTTTGCATAATCTATTGATCTAACGAGCTCTCTCTATGACAACGACCAACGTCATTTTGTTTCAATATTGTTTAATTGTTATAATAAAATGTTGTTATAGACAGTGGCGGAGCCACGATTTCATAAAGGGTGTCCAAGTCCTAAAGTGAATCTGTTTTTCTTAAAAAGTGAAAAATTGCTACTAGTGAAATTCGAATACACAAATACTTTAAATTTGTGTATCTTTACTCTTTTAAGGCGTCTAAAACCACTAGATTACGTCATATTATTGTGTCAAGGGTGTTCAAAATATATTATTTAGCCACTCAATCTATTATTTTACTTAAATATACGATATAATATTCCGACGAAGTCCCTGACACAAGTGTGGCTACGCCACAGGTTATAGAGACATATAATGTAACACGAATTATAGTTGCATAGAAAAAATAACTGTTATAGAGAAATTTAATTTGTAAAATAAATTAGATTGAGTTTTGTGATATAATATTACCAAACTGATCAAATGTAATACTATCGTAACACTACATTAAATTTTGTCAGCTTACCCCAATAACCTTGCAGAGAGCAGCATAAAATATGAAGATGTTATTAGCTTGTAAAATTATATTATTAATATGTCCGTAAACAATATATTTACTCTTTTTTTCACAAAATGGATGGTCTGATTATGGACTTGAGATAAGCAACCTCTTGATGCTACATTGGAATTCTGACCTTTTCTGTTCATTATGTTTATTAATTCAATTTTTGGTTTGTTTATATATATATATATATATATATATATATATATATATTTGAGGTTAATTATATATTTGATAAAAAAATAATTTTATCATTCAATCATTCATTTCGAGTAAAATGACAGATTTAATTTATACTTTTTTAATTATTAGTATAATACACCTACAATTCAATCGTTCATCGTGATTAGAGTTCACACTCGATATTTTATTTCAAGGTTGCATACTTTTGGTCAATTATTAGATACCAAAAACCTAAAAAGAGATCATCTCTGAATAAATAAAATATTAAATAATTTTTATTTTACTTTTATACGTTCAATAAAAATACAAAAAACACATAAAAAAAATTTTTTGCTCGCTTCTCTCCTTTCTTTACCTTAGTTGCTTAATTCATGTCAAAATTGTCACACAAATTATTTCCTAGACATCGAAAGTCACTAATTAGACAAAAATGAATATTTGTAATAATTAGATCAACAAAAAACAACTTAGGTAAATCATATAAATATGTACATTGATGCCAAACACATACGTTATAGAATATTTGATTTCATATTTTTTTTATAGAATGGATAAAGAAAACTATATGAACTACCGAATAGAGATTTCAATTTGTCAAGATTGTGATTTGTGTGCAAGGAAAATTGATGTAATCTTGAATAACAGTAAGTATTCTCATCATTAAAAAAAAAGAAAATACATAAAATTTTCCTCAAATTTGTTTTCAAAATTCACTTTAGCATTATAACTTTATGAAAGTTTAAATTATATAGTCATACGCTCCGTACTCAAACTCACAATCTAACTCCTGCCCCTTTTGTTCACTTTGTGACTCCAACTTGCAATCTTTGGGTTGGAAGTGAGGGGTGCCTATCATCCAACCAACTCCCTTTTTTCATTAAGAAACTTGAGTATTGTCATTTATAACATGACCGCATTTAAAATATTCAAGTTACAAAACAACATAAATCTTAATTCATGACAAATTGACACAATTAGTAATTATATTTGATAACTTAAATTTTAAAACTTTAACAAGTGATTTCACATCAAATAAATGCAAAAAAAAAGGGTAATACAGTACTTTGATTACAGTGATTTGACTTTATTATTTTATTTCATGTTTTCTTTCGTCATGACAACACCATATATTTTTATAACATGATAATATTTTGTTGGTATAGTAAATTTAATGAATTTCACATTTTAACAAATTTATATTCATTAAATTTAGATAAAGACAAATTTATAGATCCACATTTAAAAATAATCTTAACTATATAGTAATTGGATCTTAATAGAACATCATAATATTTAAAACGTGTATTTGAAGTCAAATATTAAAATTCAAAGGCACAACTAATTCAAATTTGACATCTTAATCTTATTAAAAATAAATGATACCTAAATCATCTCAAATGACTTCTCATTTTAAAGTCAAAACGTGTTATTACTACCTTATGGTGAATGTTGTTATTTTTTAATCTTACCTACTGCACATCCAACTTTCACTTCTTTGAAATATTTATCTCATGAAAATATATTAAACTTTACCAACCTAGCGCTTATTATCATATAATTGTTATTATATATATATATATATATATATATATATATATATATATATATATATATATATATATAAAAGACCTCAATAAATTTTTTATTTTAACAATTCAATTACATATTATAGGAGTAACATTTCATCTATTATTTCATTCTCTTGAAAAAATGAACTTAATTTCTAAATTCTTTGTATTTTGATACCGCAGTTCAATTTACAACTTAATTTGCTGTTCTCATGCTAATTAAACATGCAATGCATATAATAAGTTGAATTTCTACTTTTCATGATTATCTTGTTTTCAAAAGTGTTTTCTATATTTCAAGTTTTTTGAGTTATTTCCTATTTTGTAAAAATATAACAAATTATAATGAATTGTAGTATTCACACAACTTCACAATTTGATATAATTTGCAGAGGTTATCACAAACCTCCACAATAAAATCGCTACAAATTATCATAAATTGCGGCGTTCATAAAACCTCACAAATTGGTGTCATTTGCAGAGGTTATTATAAGCCTCCGCAATAAAATAGTCACAAAATAAATTATATCGAAGGGGTTAAAATAAACGCTACAAAATACCCACAAATAAATCTGTGCAAATTATCCTATTTATTTGTAGTGATATTATTATTGAACAAGAATTGTTGGTGCTTCAATGACAACTTTGGTGACTGCTTCAACAACAATTATAGGAGTTGTTATAAACGACTCAAAATTGACAGATTTGAAGATTTTCAAACATCTTACTATGATTGCAAAAAAAATAATAATGAAAATAGACAAAAATGAAATAGGAAGAATGAAAGAAATCCAAAAAAAAAAAAAGGATATGTCGAGCGTTTTGTCCAATTCACCGGCGTGGTGAATTTTTTTGGCACCAAGTCAGCCATTAAGGTTGTATTTAATTTATTGGAAAAATTTTTAAGGGGAAATTTAAATCTCCGTAAAGTTATAGTGCTAAAGTGAATTTTACGGACAAACTTAAGAGATATTTTATGTATTTTCTCTTAAAAATAATAATATCATTTAGTGAAAAAACCAAAAATTTTTAATCAGAAATATTCAAAATTTTATATTTACATTTTTTTTTCATCTTTATACTTTGTTATGTATATATAATTTTTTAATGAAAGGTAACCTGCCATTACAACATATAGCTACACCTGACTATTACTATGTATTTATATTCATGAAGAAATTTAATCAAACTTTCATAATAAAATTTTACCTATCATAGATTATTTTTTTTTCAAATTGAAGAAAAATATAGTATCTAATAAACAAAACTATGGTATCCGAAAAGATAAATTCGTAGCCATTTAACAATCATCTAATGTTAGTACGTATGTAACCTAATATTAAATTATAAACTCAGTCAAATCAGCCCTAAAGCTAATGAAAATAATATTAAATTTTCAATTAGTCATTTATTCTTAGAATAATAATTAAAGTAAAAAAAAAAAAGAAAAGAAATATCTCATTACTAGGGTTTTTGTCCAAAAGCCCAAGCACTATCACTGTTTCTACTCCTCCCACCATTGAAATTTATGTCTCTCTTCCTTTTTTGACTATCAATTTTCCAAGAATCTTAGCTGATCTTGGTTGAGCCACTACTGAGAGGTATTCTCTTGCTATAAAAACTGTATCTTTTTATTTATGCTGAAAATTTGTAGAGAAAGATTATATTTTAATTTCAAGTTTTGATTTTTTATCATACAAAACTGGTGTGTACACCATTGTAGCTTAATTTTTATGCTAAAAAAGCATCTGGGTGTTTTTTTTTTGAAAAAAAAGAGAGTCAAAACTGGGTTAGAGGTAACTCCTCCTTTGTAGCAAGAAGTGTTCTTTAGTGGGCTATTTAATTTGAAGTTTTCTTGTGTTTTTGTGTTTTTTCTTTATATATATATGTGTGTGTGTGTGTGTATGTATATGTATATGTATATAGTCTGTTAGTTAGTGAGAAGTTGAGATTGTTTCTGACCCCAAAAATCTATCTTGGTAATTGTTTCTAGTTTCTTTTTTGATTGCTAATGTAGGCTCTGTTATTTTGTTTATCTGAAAGATATTTTACTCTCCTCTTATTTATTTTGTTTATCTGAAAGATATTTTACTCTCCTCTTATTTATTGCAGCAGCAGGTTTTGGCAATGGCTACATCTGCTTGGGACATTGCTGCCACAGAATTCTTACAAGTATGTTCATTACTCTGATTTTTTTTTTCAAGAATATGTTGTGTCAATGATGTAGAGAAAATTGTTAACTTTGAATTATTTTGTATTGCAGGGTTTTCATAGACAAAAGCTAGCATTGCCTAGACATTCTAGTAAGCAGACAAATCTTTTGCTTTGGGGTACACTTCCAAGGCAGAGCTCTTTTGGGTATTCACATAAAAATTTGAGACTAAGGTCCCATATTCCGGCGAAGATTAGT